TCTACATGGGTATAAGCCAGTGCCCCAGTAGACAGCCACATAGAAGATGGCAAATGCCACAACAGATTCATAGGTATATAGGAGAACCCCCTGCACTCCAAAAGACCTCAGTCTCCTCAGCAGATGTGCATATCTTCTTTAAAATAATAAAGATACATGTTTTCCAAAACAGCCTGACTGCAAAGGAAGAATATTTAGGATAAAATGTATAGGATAAGACAGAGCCTTAAGGTACCTCCACATTTAAAGGGGACTCAGGACTCACAAACTGACACAGCTGGACAGAGAAAAAAACTTCCAGACAGGTAGGAGCGAAACCAATTAAGAACTCTGCCCTTAACACAGACTGTCTGAAAGCATCATGGTCCAATGTGTCACAAACAGCAGTTAAATTAAGCAAAATTAAAGTAGCAGAATCTCCAGAGTCTGCAGGTAAAAGCAGGGCATTTAAAACTAAATGGAGCAGAGTTACAGTACTGGAAAACAATTTAAAACCACACTGAGTAATTTTACTAATCTGATGTAAAATAAACAGGAACTTAGATCCTAATGTTCATTCAAAGTTTAAGCCTATTTCTAAGATGCTCCTTTTCTGTAACTGGTTGGACCATGGTATGTTTAAAAGCAGCTGACACGGAACCAAAAGAAAGAGAGGAGTTTATTAAATACTGTGCAGGGACCTTCAGCACTACAGAACTAGTTTAGAAGGTTGGAGGAATAGTGCGGCCTGGAAAGCTTCCTGACGATGCATGACAACCAAGAGATATGAACACAGTCAGACTGGTCTAAAACGGCAGGACGAATGGGGCAAAATGCAGGATAAGGACCTGCCTGTATGGCTTTATCACTACAAAAACACATTTAAATGCTTTACAGTTTCAGACAGAAGTAACCAGTGAATATGAGTCACAAGGATCCAGGAGATTCTCAAGTTAATGAACAACTGAGGCTTGTTAATATGTATAGACGAAACTTAGAAATGAACTGAGATTGGAAGCTTGATATCCAGCTATGGAGTTCCACCTAGTCTCTGAAGAAATGTGAAGCTTGTCCAGTCTTCTCCTTCTCTTGGCCCATCCACAACGCTTGTGTTTAATCATTAAGCCACTGCTCTGGTGATCAGAAATACCTCAGTCGTGTATATGTCAAAATCACCAGTGATCCACTATATAACTTCATTATTCATTTAAAAAAAGGAAGATTTCAATGTAAAAAATAGCTAGTAACCTTCTAATTAATAGGCTGACATTAAAGCAGCAGGACATTAAAGATTCAACAAAGTTTTAAAGTCTAATGTCCATCTACAATATAAGTTATCAATAAAAAATACCCTTTTATTCAGTCAATGCAAATTAATGGAACTTTTTACCATTTATATTGGAGTTATATACTATGCTTACTTTATGTAATCTATCTACAAGCATCTGATAGGATGGAGGTATGCTAATAGAAGCAGATAATCTGTCAGGCAGACTCATAAAATAATACAAGTATGTTATATATTAGCTTATCTAGTGTGCTAGCATGCATTCATTATATATGCCTCTTATAGGACATAGCCATTGCCATCTTCGATTGTTTAGATGAACCATCCAGTATGCCCAAATCTCTTATGCTGTGATTAGATTAAATACTAACATGCAAACCAACTCTGGGAGTTATCTCCAACCATGATACCCAACTCTGGGTATCATGGTTATTATATTGAGTATACACCAACATGTACTGGGAGGATGGAGTTTAGAAAATGCTAATAAAAAATTGACTTGTCTCTTGTTTCAATAGCTTCCAAGGCAGGTAGGTTATAAAGCATCTTAGTTATTTGGAAGGAGTTAGGAAGAAAGCTTTAACTTGTTTCTTATAGTTTTGTTTAATGTTTATACTCTGAAAATTGATATCTTGAATAAAAAAAAGCAATTATGGTATAAGAATGCACAATCATGTTTTAAGCTAAAAAAAAAAAAAAAAGGATTATGTTTCAAGAGTTACTCTATGTCAGAGTCCTTATCTGCATAACAAACTTATGCAATGTGTTTATGTCCTGGAAAGTTGATTATTGCTACTTTAAATCTGAATAATGCATTTTACTTTATTGCTGCAGGCAGTGCGGTTGTTGAAGAAAGGTGGCGTTTTGGTCTACAGCACCTGCACTGTGACTCTTGCAGAGAATGAGGAGCAGGTAGCCTGGGCCCTCAAAACCTTCCCCTGCCTCACTCTGCAGCCACAGGTAAATGACTTTTACTATGCAGACAGATTGAAGGTTCAGAGATACAAAAAGATAACATGGAGACTTCCTGCTGTCTTAGGAGCCTCACATCGGTGCAGAAGGCATGCCAGGAGCCGGACTGCCACCTGAGCAACTCGGCATCCTCCAGAGATTTAGCCCTGAGCTGAGCTGGCACTCGATAAATACGACAGCCCCTCTTTCCTGCAGGGCCGACAGGGACACCATCGGTTTCTTTATCGCTAAATTCCAGAAAACCTGACTGGAGAATGGGTTTCCTTACTTTCAGACGAGCAGGGTCTGATTCTGTGTGTGCTTATATATAGCCCATGAAGAATGGAGGAAGTTGCTCTAGAATTCAGCTGCTCTCTAAAACTGTGGGCCATATTGGGATAAGCTTTAAAACAGAGAGCAGAAGAGAGGGAGAGAAGCTGAAGGAGCATTAGCAAATGCAGCAGCACTATGGTCGCCATAACAACGGTGACGACACAGCTGCCATGGTGACGATGGATTCACTAGATTCAGGAAGTAGCATTCAGAAAGAGGTCATAAGAGTTATTAACAATTCATTGATGCTGTAGACAACCGGGATATCTAATTAGTCCATCTGCAAAGAGAAGTAACTTTATGTATTTTTGTCACATCGATCAGTGCACACTGCTTTTTTATTAATATTTATTATTAATCAGTGCAGCCTTCTTTCAGTTTCCATTAAAATTGATTGAGTGCTAAGAAACTGAAATGTCTTCAAAAATATTCCTGTCTGAAAATATTTTTAAAAAATTTAGTTTTTTCCCCTAGTGTCATTTTAATAATTTGTGTTATTTTATTGGACAAAGAACTTCTTAAAGTTGCCTCTTTAATGTGACCCACTCTAAAATATGCAACATTGTGAAAAACCATCGGTTTCACAGCACTGACACACAAAAAAACGAAAAACCAAAAAATATAAACATTCTTTCTGCTTTATTGTTGTTCTGGCATTGAATAAAATTATTTAAAAAGAAAACAATTTTATTGTATTTTGGTTTATTTCACACAGAACCATGCCTTTTGCCTCCTGCTCTTTTAGGCTTTATACATGTTTAAAGTGTTAGAGGTTATCAGCTGTGATGGAGTCTGCAGTCGCCTGCCCTACAGGAATAACACTCATAGCTTGCTGATTTTTTTGAGTTTTAGAACAGACATACCTTAGTTGTGATGCATGGTGATACTTCAGTTTCCACGGCATGTTTTTTTTTGTAAACAGGTTTTTCCAAACAGCAAAAAAAGAAGAAGAAAGCCAATCAGCTTTCTCCTAGAGTTCAGCCAGATGCAAACTTCTCCAACCTACCTAATTTCATTTCTGACTTACCTAGGACAAAATACAAAGCGTTTCTGACTCCTGACTGAGCTGCAAAGTAACCGATTCAAAATCCCCCCCCAAAGATTCCCTCAATGTTGCATTGCTTGCAATACTTGCAAATCAACATTCTGCCTTTTTGCCATCAAACACCCAAGAGAAACCAGAAAGAGATTTTTAAACTGAACTTTTAGGAGAGAAGACTAACCCCAGGGAACAGTACACATAACAATGAAAGCTCTGACCATTATGACACACTGAAGACTTGATATTTTTATCATATTTTAGTGAAATTTATTTTGATCAACAACACTTATTCTGTTAAAACTGAACTCTGAGCATCCAATTAAATATCTCTTTGTGCAGCTATCTGTATTGCACATCTGTATGTATATATGGGGCCATTGTGAGGTAGAAAATAAGCTTCAACTAATGATGTTATTAAAAAGATTCAATCAGATGCATCTATGGGAGCACTTGTCTATTTAGGTGGCAGCCCTCCAAAGACGCCCCTTGCTATTTTAAACACTGTGTTGTCGCTGATGTTGAGGTCGCCATGACGACTGGGCGGGAAGGGCCGATGAGCCTTCCTCAGTTCTTTTTTTTTTTAAGCAGAGTTTCTCTTTACTATTAATAGACGACCCCCCCCCTCTTTGAAACTTGTTCCTATGACAAAGCACACATCGAAATCCCCCCCACTGTTACATTTCTCTGTTGTCATCTTTATTCTTTATATTTATGCATTATGTACATACACATGTACAATATTATAAAATCTGTGGGGCTACAAATGTAGCATAGAAATATTTTTTTTATATATATATATAATTACACTTGTTGGGTGAGAACAAAAAAGGGGGGTGGAATGCAAAAAACTGCGTAAAAATAAAAAAAGTGTTGCAAAATATCAGGTGGAAACTGCACAGATCAGGTTGGGGGAGTGAACAGATGGCAGATACCAACACTGAAAACACTTTGAGCTTGTTTTATGAATGAATATTTCAAGTGCAGAACATTCTGGACATTTCCTTTTACTGACATTCTTTATACTGTAAAAGATGTGGGAGTACAGGTGGGAATTCAACATTCATTAGAAAATGGGTCAGACTTGATGAAAGATGAACCAGAATGGAATCATATCAAACCACTTTTGTACTGGAACCAGAATGAACTGAAAACAAAATGCAGGATATAGCATGTACCCATGTAAGAACGTGTTTCTGGACCCATAAGAAGAACAGGACTGCATGTCTTCTCTGCAGGGAGAAGAACAGGAACTGAGCAGATAATGGTTACCCTAAGGTGAAAGGAGTAGCCTGACAATTTGGGAAAAATGCTTTTTTTATGTGAAAACAGACAGACTTACAAGGTTTTGGTCAATATAAAGACTTTTTTTCAGCTTAGTCTTAAAAAAAAAAAAAAGATTTTCTTGTAAACAAAGACTCACTGAAACGACCTATTCAATCTTTTTTGGAAACAAAAAGGTACCTCGCTACAATCTGTTTCAGAAATAATATCAGGACTGTGTATGTCTTAGCTAAACTAATGCCATCAAAAATTACACCTTAAAAAGAAAAAGTCAGTATGTGATTTTTAATAATGTAAAGATTAATGTTTTTGCTCATGAGCCAGAAGCAGGCCTTGTGTATACGAATATCGGTCAGTATTACAGTTATAGTTGGAACGATTAATCATATTACACTGTTGAGGAGAATAGGTGGGGCTTTGAATGAAAGTCCTTCCTTTTTGAATAAAATGGTCATGAAATTAAACTAATATGTATCCAAACTGGCATCAATGCTCAAGACAGGATCACTTTTTTCAGCAATGTAGCATTAGAGAACAACTTTAGGATGATAAACTAGACCTACTGTTTGAGAAATGGGCATAATCAAATACTATATAGTTAAATGAGCTTCGCTTAAAATGAGGATCAAACGCAAAAATGACAGGAATATTTCTTTTTTCCCCCATACATTTGAATTAGAACCAATCAGATACGATTGCTTACTAATCAACTTATCTATAAATTCAAACAAGAATATTTATTGTAGCACTTTTCCATCAGAAATAAATACTTCCAGGTTTTTTTTTTTTCCTCTTATTTTCTTTAATCCAAGCAAGCAAATTTCCCAAACTGGCAAACTAATCTGTAATTACAGCATCAAAATATGTTGGCTGGTAAACCCCCCACCCCACCCCCACCCCAGCAGTAGTCTGAAGGAACACATTATTATTCAAGTGGTAGCAAGCAATAAACTTAACAATAATATTAATATTAAAAATAATAAAAATTATAATGCTAATCACAGAAAGCACAGCTCAGTACAGAAAAAAATTTCTGCTTTCGTGTCATGCTTTATCAAAACACAGATTTAAAATATGCATATTTCAAAATAGTCATGCATATCCACACATAAACAATGTCTATGCATAGATACACACACACATATATACATATATAAATATATATACGTATTTATATA